TGTGCATGGGTTACAGGGTCACACTCTACCTTTAACTGGTCCGCTTTTCAAACCTGGCAGTGACTGCCGTCTTTGTCTGGCTCTCTGTAAAACCTCTCTCACTGCTCAATTCACTGCTACTGTAAGAAGCTGAGACCCTCATTCAGGGACCTGAATATCACATCACTCAGAGTAAACTGATATTTGATGTGAAATAACCCCTGACTAATAGCTCCGCAGCATTTGAACTCTTCAAAGATGCAGAGTCTGCTCTCTGTCTCTGTGATTAAGATGGACATTTTTCTGTGGTGTGAACTCATGACATTTAAAACTCCATGTGTCTTTGTTGTTTACAAGTAAAACTAATGCAAAAACGCAGATTACAGTAACTGACAGAAACGCTCACCCGGGCAGTGTTTATGGGTCAGGGCTGTGTGTGAACAGCCGGGCCTGCGGCAGTCAACTGCGGCTGTGGCTCTGGCACAGAATGTGAACTATTATGGCTGACTGTTAGCTTCCTCACATGATATAAAACAGTACCAGTTTTTAAACCACACCAAGACCCTGGTCGTGGAGATTTGGTTTGACATTAGATTTGAACCAAACCTAAGACACGTTGTACTGTGACTTGTGCAAACACAACACTGATTCTTAACCGTGGGGCAGTGCCCCAAACTTGGGCCATCAGCGCCACCTAGGACTGCTCAGCTACAGTGCAGCTTTTGACCACATGACCACAGTAATGGATCAGTCAGGTCTTTAACTTGCTCTAATATGCAGAGAAGAAGTCTTCAGCTACAGTAGCTGTAGCAAAAAGTTTAGAGAAGTTTTTAAAATGAAAAAATTAAGAAAAAACCATGTGCGACTGCTTCTTTCACCCCCTCCTTCAAAAAATTCTTGATTTCATTAAATCCAAAATAAAAACAGTCAAAAAGGTTAAGAACCGTTTGCTATAGACAAAGATTGATGGTTCACACTGTTTTTGTTTTTGTTAAAGAACTGATTGTAATGTTTATGCAGTGTTTTTGCCATTTCCTTCTGATTACAGGCTCCGTTGTACTCGGTTGTATAAATAATGAGATTAATGCTGGAGCAGAAATACTTCTGACTTTCAGAGGGTTGGTGTTGATGTGGACTGGGCTCGGTGCATCCCGTGGTGGTTAAACTTGAGTCTGTTCCTCCACATTTGATGCGGATGGAAGCGGCTTCATATGGTGTCCTCATCAATGTCTGGTTGACTCCCTGTTGCCTCCTGGATTTATTGGAGTCAGCGCACACAGGAAGCCAAGCCAATTGTTGGTGTGATTTATTTTCTGACTCCCTGTTTTGTAGAGAGTGGAGCCCAAAAAAAACATTTATTTGTCTTTAAATAAGTCTGCAGAGTCTTGAGGTTTTATTGCAGCCAGGCTTCTGGCATTAAAAGGTAAAACTGTCACTGGGGTCTTAACAGTGTGAATGACCTCTTTTTTTATGATACTAAAATCTGCAATTCCACCAGTGTTCTTTTAACACATCATTTTGTAGCTTGAGTTAAAGGTAAACATGCTGAACTGGCTCCTCTGTTTACAGCTTAAACCTTTACTGGAAGTGAGTACCAAAATAAGTTTTTGAGGCTGGGGTCAGGGTCTGCTGACAGGAAACAGGTCTCAACTCAATGACAGACACATACGCACTAGTGGTTAATCCCAGTAGGACAGTTAGAGGTGACACTGTCAGAGTCTTTACTAGGCCTCTGAGTCATTACTAAGTGATCTGAGCACATGGAGCCCTTAGATCTCTGAGAGCATGATGACAGATCTTTGATACTGCAAACTGTGATTAATAAATGCAAAACTGAGATTATTCTTTCCTCAAACGATTTAAGCAACAACCACAAAATCACAAAAAATTTCAGTTAGTGATATTTAGTTGTCTAGCTCAGTGTTTCCCAAACATTCTTTGTGGGGACCCATATTTTAAAAGTCACAAACCTTCACGACCCAAGTCAATAGACATTATTGGTAAACTCCTGGGAAACAAGATGGCAGACGACCCAAAAGAAATCTCTCGCGACCCACCTTAGTACCACCAACTCCATCAGTTTCTGACTGGTAAAACATTCAATGCAAAAATGTCTTTACCACCTACATAGGATTGAAAACAGAGAAAATACAAGTACAGGGCAGCAACTCTATACATTAAGTACAAGAGAGCGCCACATTTAAGTAACCAATAAGGGTTAGGAGCAAACAAAAATGTGATTACCTGACTTTATTAGAGCGGTCAGGATGTATTGGGTGCTGGTTTCAATGTGTAACTTTTTTGTTTTTCATAAATTAGGTCTCTACCCTTGTTTACTTGCCAAGTTAAAAAACAAAACATTACAGCCTTAAAACATATTTCCTTCTACACTATATCATTCATTGGTTGTCTTCAATGTGATCACACTAGGATATTTATGTACCAGCCTCCCACAAAACAAGTGGACAGTTTGTTGGATGAAGCATGTTGGTTTTAATGTTATCTGGTGATTTTTGTTTTCATTTTGAGTGGAAACTATTGAACATCTGCTATTTCACCTAAGTCACCAAAACAAACGGACGAAGCGGAGGGTTTTATGATCAAAACACCCCAAGCTTTCGCGTTAACATTCTGCTGACAAAGCAGTCTCTCAAGTCAGACCCTGGTTTGGCAGCTGTTATTGAGACTTGGATCAGGTCACATGATCTTCATAGATGATGAGTATCTTACGTTCTTAAAACTTCTAATTTAAGATCTGTTTTAGGTTGAAAAAAGAGGCAGCAACATTACATCTGGTATTTTTCAGTCTATCAACATATATAACATATTATTCTGTTTGAAGTACACTGCAGGCCAGTCACTGGATTTTGTAGTTTTGAAGTCAGTGTTTCATCTTTCACATGTCCTGTGTCAGTTGAGTACACTTTGTATTTAATTAAATTTCCAGACAGTGAACAAATAAGCCGGGACAATATCTGACTGTGTCTCATCAAAGATCTGTTGTAGTCAGGGCTGTGGTTGTGGTGTGGTTAGAGTACTGGCTTGAAAATACTCGGTGAGAACACGTGTTGTAGAGGAGCTGTGTTGTGTACGGAGCAACTTCCCAGGCGGAGCTCTGTGTGTGTGTGTGTGTGTGTGTTTTCAGAGCAGGAGTGTTTTCTCTTGTTTAACAGCAAAACCAGGTTACGGCTCACAGTGACTCCACTGTGCAGAGAGGCTTCCAGTCAATGCTACTGTGTGCTCACCGGGACTTATTTCCACCCACCCACTGTATCCACGGCTGGGTGGGGCAAAAAACATGCCAACAGATGCCCAGTCACAAGCTGGTGCACACCCATTCACGTGTGAGTGCAAGGAGCCATTCAGACAGATGCAGACACACAGACTGCTGGTCCAGAACAATGATCTGCAACTGCCCAGGATGTCCATGTCACTTCCTGTGTTTGTGAGAAGTTATTTGGTGTCGCTGTGGAAACCGAATGTAATATTGAACATTTTCTCTCTCACTCTCTCTTTTTGTTTCTCTCTCTCCCTCTCTAACCCGCTCTCTCTGGATCATTCCCTGTATTCAGAGAAGAACCAGTCCAGGAAGGAGAGCCAGGCCTCATCCCCAACCTTGGCGGCTGCTGCCAGACTGTCAGCCATGATACACGGCAAAGACAGAGTATACGCTAATGCTATGGTAGTGGACCAGGTAAGTCGGCTTTTTATTGTATTATCTACAAATATTTTAGTGCACTTTTATCACATGATGTTCATGAGATGAAGGCGACTGGACTGGGCTGTTCAGGTGTGAAGCCCCTTAGACAGGGGTGTCAAACTTATTTTCATCGGGGGCCACGTCAGCAATACAGTCCCCCTTGAAGGGCTGGTTGTAAATGGAAAAACTGTACAGATCCGTGGACCAGTACCGTTCCATAGGTCATTTGGTACTGGGTCGCAGTGGGACACAGTGAAAAATTGTATTTAAAGATTTATGCATTTAAAGATATTATTATTAATATTTTTAAATAAAAGTAATTCAGACTCAGATACAAACAGAACAGAGTCTAAAAGGTGTTTTATTTTGAAAATTTAATGATCCTTCAATGGTCAGTACCTTGGTACCAGTCTGTAGAAACAGGTGGTACTGGCTGACCAGTCCTTGGAACAAAAAAGGTCAGGGACCACTGGTATAGATGTAACTACTCCATAAAAACTTTTAATTTGTTATGTTAATGAACCCTGCTGCATGGACTTTACTAAATGCTTTTTAAGCTCCTGCGGGAAAACGGTTTGGTGGGCCGCATTTGGCCCCCGGGCCTTGAGTTTGACACGTATGCCCTAAGAGGTCTTCAAGGAACCAAGGCCAGTCCAGGCGCTACTTTGTCAACTTCTAAATGACCTGGTTGGCCGATAACATCCACACACAAAATGCAGCTGAGACGGCGCTCAGTCAAAAACGTTCCTCCTGAATGAATTCACCAATTTCTCACGTTTCAGGTGGAAGATGCTGACATCAGATACCGCTCTCCAGGGGAGGATGAGGTCAGTCCTGGGCCCCACGGTGACAGCCACTGCTGGGACTCTGTCTCCAGGACTCCCCCCGACTCAGGAAACTGTTCCCAGAACCAGCAACCATCCTCACCCTGTATTGATGAAAGGGGATTCCAAAGCAGCAGCCTGGAGGATCACAGGGAGGCATCCCCTCGTATGTCTCCCACCTCCCCCTTTACTGCTTCCCCATCTTTTCCCTCCTCCCCCCTGGCTTCCGCCCTACGTTTGTTTGAAGGAGTGCAACGGCGTCAGAGACATCCCTTCCTGCCGACGTCTCCTACTCTAAAGCACCAAGGATGCAGTTTGGCTGAGACCAGATGTGGCCTGAGGTTGGTCATTGTATCACAATCAATCTTTAAATGTTGTAGCGATAAAAAAAAAATCCTAGACATTACCTCAAACTCAGCCATGTAAACTCCAGGACTGTGTCGTGATCTCAGCGTTAAAGACTTGTCCAGCAGTATGTAGTCCAGCACTGAGTCACGCCGAGAGAGACAGACAATCAGATGGTTGGAATTTCAGCAGAAACTCTTTTGATTCATGTTCATGCCAACACCGTCATCAGTGAAGGTGCAAAAAATGGCAGGAAGTTTGGACACAATTGAGCTATTTGTTTGTTGAAGTTGCTGAACATTCCTTCCAGTTCACTCAGCTCTGCAGGAGCTTCCATACTGGGACTAAAGCAAAGGCTGCATGTTTGACAGCCTTGTTATGACTTAGATGCAGGAAGAATGAAGAATAGTTGAATGATCTTATCATCTCGCATTGATGACACAATTGCAACAAGGCGATGGCTGGGATTCTGAGCCGGGCACAGTATTATGCTGCTGTGTTCCAGCTGTGATGAGTCATCACACTTGGAAAACTGGGGGAAAAAGAGAGAAAAAAAATAGCATAATAAAATAAACCTTAGCAGTTTGTTTAGATTCCTGCAGTGCGTGACACTGGGTATTGGAAATGCAGAATGGTAACATGTGTCTTTCTTCTGTATGTGCGTAAACACATAAACAGTCCAAGTGTGGAGTGTGACAGTGAGGAGGAGGACATACTGGGACATTCCTACCCCTGCTCGTCTCTGAAGCAGCAGGCCTTCCTGCGGTCCAGCTCAGGGGAGGAGAGAGACTCCTTTGACGCATTGCCAGACTTGAACTGCCCACAGTCCAGCAGCACACAGACCTGCACCAAGGTACCGTCACTGTCACGCACTTATTTGAATTTTACTAACATGACAACAGTTTATTTGCAAACCTCTGTTGACAGTTCAATACATTATCATAGAGTACAACGTGGTACAATATCATACTGTAGGACACGATGCAATACAAAACATTACACAGTGGAACCTCGAAATACGAGCGTCTTGCCATATAAGTATTTTAAGATGTGAGCACGCTTACAGACGCCAACACTAGGTGGCGGAGCACTCGGAGCAGCCCACGCTGCCTCACACTTCTTCTATCTAGATTTTCTGTCTATTTTGTGCATATTCTTCATAATAGTGATGAGTTCTAAGAGAGTGAGTGGTAAGGATATATATATATATATATATATAGTGGATATAAAAAATCTACACACCCTTGTTCAAAGCCAGGTTTTTGTGATGTAAAGAAAAGACACAAGAATAAATCATTTCATAACTTTTTCCACTTTTAATGTGACCCGTAACATGTAATAGGCAAATGAAAAACAAACTGAAATCTTCACGAGGGAAAAATTAAAAATAAAAACTTAAAATAACCTTGTTGCATAAATATGCACACCCCTGTATAACTGGGGGCGTGGCTGTGTTTGGATTCAACCAATTACATGCAAACCCATGTTAAATGGAGTGAGCACACACCTGTCACCATGTAAAGTCCCTCTGACGAACCCCCCAAAAAAAATCTGTTTTATAAAATCAGCTGTTCTAGTAGATTTTCATCACATTTTTGTAGCCATGGTCCGCAGAGAACTTTCAAAGCATCAGAGGGATCTCATTATTCAAAGTTATCAGTCAGGAGAAAGGTACAAAGCAATTTCGAAGAAGTTAAATCAACCATGGAACACAGTGAAGACAGTCATCAAGAAGTGGAGAAAATATGGCACAACAACGACCTAACCAAGAACAGGACGGCCGTCCAAAGTTGATGAAAAAACAAGGAGAAAACTGGTCAGGGAGGCAACCAAGAGGCAGCAACACCGAAGGAGTTACAGGAATATCTCTCAACTACCGGCTGTGTGGTACATGTGACAACAATCTCCCGTCTCCTTCATATGTCTGGGCTGGGGGGAAGGGTGGCAAGACGGAAGACTTATCTCTCAAAGGAAAACATCCAAGCCAGGCTACATTTGCAGAAAGACATTTGAAATCTCCCAAATGCATGTGGGAAAATGTGTTGTGGTCCGATGAAACAAAGGTGGAACCTTTTGGCCATAATTCTTAAAGGTATGTTTGGCGCAAAAACAAAACTGCTCATCACCCAAAGACTACCATACCTACAGTGAAGCACGGTGGTGGCAGCATCATGCTTTGGGGCTGTTTTTCTTCAGCTGGAACTGGGTCCATAGTCAGGGTGGAGGTAACTATGAACAGCTCAAAATACCAGTCAGTGTTGGCACAAAATCTTTTGACTTCTGTCAGAAAACTGAAGATGAGGAGGAAGTTTATCTTTCAACATAACAACGATCCAAAACACACATCAAAATCAACTAAAGAATGGCTTCACCAGAATAAGATTGAGGTTTTGGAATGGCCCAGCCAGAGTCCAGACCTGAATCCGATTGAACATCTGTGGAGTGATCTGAAGAGAGCTGTGCTTGAGGAGATGCCCTCGCAATCTGTCAGATTTGGAGCAATTTTGCAAAGAAGATAAGAAAGAAGGCAAATATTGTGATATCAAGATGTGCCAGACTCATAGACACTTACCCAAAAAGAGTGCTGTAATTAAAGCCAAAGGTGCTGCAACAAAGTATTAGTTTAAGGGTGTTCATACTTATGCAACAAGGTTGTTTTAGGTTTTTATTTTTCCTTCGTGAAGATTTTGAAGTTTGTTTTGTTTCAATTGCTTATTACATGTTATGGGTCACATTAAAAGTGGAAAAAGTTATGAAACGATTTATTCTTGTGTCTTTTCTTTACATCACAAAAACCTGGCTTTGAACAAGGGTGTGTAGACTTTTTATATCCACTGTATATATCCACTTTATATTAAATTACAATTCAATATGATAAAACAAGTGATTCCAAAAACATTTACTTTACCGTAAAAGATTTACTGTTACTCAAATTATTATATTTTTCTCACAACGTTGCTACAGTACAGTATACCGTAATGTTTAAAAAGAAAAAACTTGTCTACACTAATTAAAGAGAAACTTCCTGTCATGCTGACTGTCACCAGCTGAGTAATGTGAATAAAAGTCAGACATTACTCCTCCGCCCCTGCAGCATTCTGCTGCTCTTCTCAACAGGACTGAACCTGCCAGCGTCTGCTCACTGTCTCGCATCTGTTTTGTTCACCCAGAACCCAGAGGAGGCCGAGGTTCGTCTACGCTCCTACTCCTACTCCTCCCCCAAAGCCAAGCCGTCACGGCCGCTGCTAAACCGAGAGGCGACTATCGTTGACCAAGCAGAAGGCGAGTGAACTCTCGAGTCCTTTGCCCTTTAACCTTTCTGTTCCCAGTAGTCTGTTGAACGGACAGATATGCCACTATGTCTGAGGAGGTCAGACAGGTGTTGTCGTTCGGCTCTGGATCCTGAAGCCTGTACGAATGTTTACAGTCGGCTTCTCTGTGACAGTACAGCTTCTGGATGTTAGTGTGTTTTACAGCATTAAGGTCATATTTTATCCCATGTAGATGGTGCGTTCAGGGGTCATTCGCTCCTTTGGGCTTTTTCGCTCTCTAAATCGCTCTTTCGCCTCAACCGACTTAGTAAGTACAACATCAATGTCGTCTGTTTGGTGAAACACTTGTTTTTCTTCTTTGGGAGAAGGCTGGTGATCAGGAGCTGCACAATTAAAAGATCCATCCATCCATCCATCCATTTTCATCCGCTTATCCGTTACCGGGTCAGAAGTCTCCACCCAAATCACATTGTACCGTACCAACCCCCCCAAACCTTCCTGTGGGTGGTGAGCCCACTGGAAGGTACCAACCGCCTTAACAGGGATTCGATGACACCTACATGCAGGGCTTAAGAGGTTCTCAACCTATGGTATGCATACCACTTGAGGTACTTGGGCTCCCTCTAGTGCAGTGATCCAAAACTATATTTATCAGAGGACCAGACTCTTTCTGGACTGACACCTTGGGGGCAGAACTCTAATAAATAAAAATAAAAATCACATTTTGTCCAATGGAACTTAAGCATGTATATATATGTATAGTGTGTTTGAAAATCGCCCACTCAGTCAACATTTCTTGTTGTCATTCAAATTGTGCAGCTGTACACGTGGTGAGGTGAAATACTTGCAATATTCTTCGAAATTCTCTGATATTACTGGTAACGGCTGCTCTATCAAAAACAGACTTTCTCTGAAGCCAAAGGCACAGAGACTCTGTTTAATAACAAAAAGACTTTCACATCTCAGTAATGAGTCACAAATTCTGAGCTAAATCTGGAAGATTTTAATGTCCCGAGGCTTTGGAAAAGTATTCTTCTCATATCTCTGATAGATCATCTGGAGGAGAAATTCTTTCTCCACTGAGGTTTTCCTTTTGCTTCCACTCGGATCTCTGTTCTGTTTCACTCTTAGTTTTGATTTTTTTTTTTTGTTTTTTACCTTGTGTTTACCATCATCTGGATTTTCAAGGCAAAAATCATTTTGCTGTGGTTGTTATTCCTCCGTAGGAGTTTCAGACTGTTTGAAGGATTCTTTCATTTGCAGCTACATCAGTTTGATTTTAGGTCATGGTTTCCACCATACATCATTTGATTGACATTTCCATAAAACTGCTTTGTCTCTTTTTGTCACAAAGTCTCAAAATAACCTCCTAGATGAACCAGTCTGACATTTTCACTCTTCATTACAGAGCAGAGAGCGTTCACCCTGACAGAGACACCAAGGGAGAAAAGGTAATAACAGAGTCGAGGCGACACCCACTCAGATGTGCAGGGTCTCGTTCAGATGGTCTGTGTGTGTTTGTTTGTATGTGTATCTCCAGTGTTGAATGTGTGGTTGGGGGTCTGAGTGTGCAGGATGTGGCAAACCTCCTGTTGCAAGGCCAGAATACGCTGGAATTGCAACCTCAAAAATAACTGAGTAAACAACGAGACTCTGGGTTTTTCTGGACGCAAAACCTCACAGTCACCCCACTCATTCCTAGGCCACATCAATAAGACTGACCATGTAGTATGTGCTCCACATACGGTCTTCATCATTTCCGATGTATTTTACTACTGACCTACCATTCTATCATGTGACAAACGCTGGATCCATAATCATATCATGTTGAATTTCATCTCACAGCTTCAGTGTCATGTGCTATTGCTATTTTCTCTGCTAATAACTGTGCTGCTTACAGTGGAAACATTTTTTAAATCACAAAATATGATTAGAATTATATTAGAACATTATTTCTTTATGCCTTAAGACAAATTAGAATAAGTCTGCATTTAATAAACGATACAGCAAGAGAAAAAAAATATAAACCCAACATAAATCTCAGGAGGCAAACATGAAAATTTGAAAAAAAAAAAAATCCAGAAGTTTGTCTTTATGCCAGAGTCAGGTGAAAAAAAAGTAATTTCTTTCACTATTTTTTACCTTGAATTTCTCCAAAATTAAATTATTATTATTATTTTTAACTTTCAGTTCAGACTAAATATTCCTTTTCCTGGTTTCTAACAAATGTAAAAGTGCAACAGCAGTAGAATGGTATGATTCCTACCTGACATGCAGTAACTCTGTGTTGAGTTCCATCTATCGCCCCCAATGGGCAGCTTCAGGAAGAGCATCCGGTGTAAAAACTCAGCTTCTGGTCAACTGCTGTTGCAACCTTAACGGAAAGGCAAAACAACAGGAATTTGTACCAACGGTGTTACTGTGTCAAAACACACATAGGATCTACATACGCACTGTAAAAGTAGAGATTTTTAAATATTCTATATTAATACAAAATATACAAACAAAACAGTTTTGTCCATAGGAAATATTATATTCCATCCACTAAATGAAAATGAATGGGAATGTTTCACTGTAATAGAACAGATCGTCAACATGTCCATCTGTGGAGAGGGACATTTGGACAAAGGAAAATCACTTCATAGGCAGATGGGACAAACACTGTCTGAGAAAAAAAACAAACAAAGGTCCGGTCTGAGGTGTTGTTATATCCATGCAGGGTTTTGGGTTTCCGTAAACGGGCCCAGTCAGCAGAGGAGGAAAGCAGCTCATCGCTCCAACACCTCACCCTCTCAGAGTTCCTCAAAGAGTATGTTTTCACCACAACAACCTGGCGGCCATGCATGCGTGGTTTAACTCATTCTAACTCTGTCATGAAACCATTATCAGACTCATCCATTAACCCTCTGGGTCCTTCACCACTCTGTCTTGGTTCTACATACACCTCCACCTGCAGAAAAGTCGGTACGTTATCACCATTTCATTTATACAGGATGAACCCAAGTACCGTATTTTTCGGACCAGGGGACGTTCTAGCAGGAAGTGCAAAAACAAGACAGACAGGGGAAGTCAGTGCAAAGAAGAACACGTTTTTATTTAGCACATGCAGCACAACACGCACGACGCACAAAATATTTTCACACCCTCTCCCCCTCATCATGGAAAGCACACAAAGAAGTTCACGTGATGCGGCGGCTTATAGTCCGGTGCAACTTATATATGTAAATTTATATATTTTTTTAACTTTTAACTTAGTGGGTGCGGCTTATATTCAGTTGCCCTCTATAGTCCGGAAAATACGGTACATTTGGATAAAAATGTGCTGAAAGTCAACAACCAAAGTAGAGATTTTAGTTTTTATTGCAGTTTTATAAAATGTACCGACTCTTCCGCAGGTGTTAGTTTTCATTTCTGCAAAGATGAAATAATATCTGTGTATTCTATGACTCTGACGTAGTTGAATGTGAAGTTGCATGTTCTGTTGTTTCTTTGTTCTGCAATTACTGCCTAGCACATAGGCCATAGTCTTATAGGTTTCTAGAAATAGTTGACACATTATTAATTGCATTATGCCAAGGTCACTCTATAAATAGTCTCCACTAGAGTCCACTGTGACTTACAGGCATGCCAAGCATGTTGCTAAGAGTAATAATCTGTAGAGTAGGGGGGCCTGAAAGAACCGTCTGGACATTCTTTCATTCCAGCATGACACCAGTGAACCCTGGTATATTCACATTTTAGAATACTTCCTTACAAATTCCTGCGGTAAATATTTGTTTTGAAGAGTCAACGCATGTCTGGTTTGAAACCTGCAGATGTCTAGAAGCCGAAATAATTTAGTGATGTTGGCATCTGACTGAAATGTTTACTGCCAAAACAGGATCGAGGACGAAGAATGGGATAAATACCTAATCCCATCCAAGGCCGAGTCGGAGAAGTACAAGGTCAGCCGCACCTTCAGCTTCCTGAAGAGCAGAATGTCCAGCAACCGCAACAAGACCAAGGTGACAAATGATGAAGATTTTACAAACATATACAGTTTATACAGGAGGTCCTTGGTTTATGACCTACTCGACCTACAGCGTAGTTACATCACCATCCCCCATAAGTTTATTTAGGAATAATTACAGTGTATGGCCTAATGACAAATTTCGCACGGGAACTAGTTGGCGAGCGGAGCGGAGTGAAAACATTGTCACGTGGCACTAAACGCGGAAGACGGCTTTGTTAACATTCATCGGTTGTACACCGTACATTGGATTGCGCTACATTCACTTGGGAACTTTCTGCCCTTGATTATGGCTCCCAAGCGTGAGTCAGGCTCTTCTAATGTTTCCATTATGACATGTGTGTCAAACTCAAGGCCTGGGGGCCAAATGCGGCCCACCAATCAGTTTTGTGTGGCCCCTGGCCAGTACCACCCGTTACCCATGACCTATTATTTTAAGTATTGCCAGATTACCTTAAATAAAAAAAAAGTAAATGGATATGAAATGGACTGAATTTGCTTTGAATGAAGTAAATTAGTAAAAATTAAGTACATTTTTTTTTACTCTGTCCCACTGCGGCCCAATACCAATTGACCTAAGGACTTGTAATGGTCCACAAACCGGGGGTTGGGTACCCCTGATCTATACAGTCTTCCATTTACAACCAGCCCTTCAAGGGGAACTGTATTGATGATGTGGCCCCAGTGAAAATGATGTCATTATGATGTCACCACTATGTTAGCACAGGTGAGTGACACATGTAAAGCACGTGAGTTACTACGCTGTAGGAGTGGAACTACGACCTAAGTTGAGCACTGATTTATAAACTGGGTTTGTGTTGAAGCCAAGAAGTTTAAAAGCCGCTAAAACATCTGGTTGAGCGGATCAGGAATCAGGATTCCTGTGGCTGTGTTCGTGGGCCTTCATCTGAGCAGGGAGAGTAATTCTCTCCTTCTACAGCTCTTAGCAACATGATACAGGGAAAATATCGACTTACATAACTCAAGGACCCCCCCTGCACACAGCATGGGGAACCAAAACACATTCCATAGTATACGCTTAAATTTATAAACACGTGTGCATGTGCTCACGAACGTGTTTCCATGTAGACACGAAGGCCTGATGCACATGAGCGGTCAGAAAACAAACACGTCCTCCTAAACTTCTCTTCAAAGTTTGATGTGAAAATAAGCAGTGCACTGTAAAATAGAAAGATCTTCTTTACATTACCCCCCGCCCCCCCGACTTCCACCCTCCAGAGAGGATAAAGATCCACAACAATCATGATCCCCGCTGATTAAAAACAGTAAACAGAGCAGCTCGTCCAGAGTTTACTACGTAAACCTCTGCTAACATCACTTACACAGGTGTGTTTCAGCACGAAGATG